TATTCTTCATATTGGTTGGGTTCAGTTGATCTATATTTAAGTTCACTCACTCTTATCTCTGTCTTCTCTATTATTTTATTAAGTCTATTCAGTAATTTTTAAAACTTTCAGATAATATGTGTTTCTTTTCTAGAATTTCCATTTAATTCTTTTTATTGTGTCTATTTCTATGCTGAGATGTCCTATCCTTTGACTTATTATGGGCATATATTTATTTATTTTATTGAAGATAGTTATCATCAATAAAATAATTGCTTTTAAAATCTTGTGTGTTAATGCCAATATTTGGGTTATTGCAGTTGATTTTCATTTCTCCTTAGTATGGGTTTCATTTTTCCAGTTCTTATGTGCTATATTTTTGTAATATATCCTGGATATTTGGAATGTTAAATTGTGGAGACTCTAAATTCAGTTATTTTTTTCTAATGAAGATTTTTTCTGTTATTTTATTAGGTAATAATTATCTTATTGGACTCAAACTGTATACTCTGTTTCTTGGGTGGCAGCTCTGATCTCAGTTCAGATCTTTGGTGTTTAGCTATTGTGAGTATATACTCTGAGCAGGTGAGGTTCGAAGCCAGTAAGAATTATGGTGAGTTAGATAGAATTTGGCGGTCCCTCTTTGGCTCTTTCTCTTCCAGTATTTCTTCTTTCTCTCTAGTGGCTAGAATTAGTCTTCTAGTTTTCCAGGCCATCAAGGCTACTTTTTTTTTAACTGATGTTTCTGCCACCCCTCAGGCTGCAGTGCCTCATCCTAGGGTAAAAGCATTGAAAATACTCTCCCCACACCACAATTCTCCTCTTAGCATACATTCCCCACAAGACTGTGCCTGCTCTGGTCACAGTGCTTTCAAATAGCTGCTTTTGATATGATGTCCAGATTTTATTGTGATTATCTGCAGGAGGGTTGGACCAGGAGGCTCTTATTTTACCATTACTGGAAGAAGTCAAGTTTTTTTCTTATTCATTTGTATAAGCACTTTATGTTTTTGTTTTTGTTTTGAGACGGAGTTTTGCTCTTGTTACCCAGGCTGGAGTGCAATGGCCCAATCTCGACTCACCGCAACCTCCGCCTCCTGGGTTCAGGCAATTCTCCTGCCTCAGCCTCCTGAGTAGCTGGGATTACAGGCATGCACCACCATGTCCAGCTAATTTTTTGTATGTTTAGTAGAGACGGGGTTTCACCATGTTGACCAGGATGGTCTCGATCTCTTGACATTGTGATCCACCCACCTCGGCCTCCCAAAGTGCTGGGATTACAGGAGTGAGCCACCACACCCAGCCACACTTTATGTTTTAAGAACTTTAACAATTTATTGTATATATTTATAATTTTGTTAATCTGTTGCTTGGCTTTTAAATTTTACTTTGTGTTTATGGTATACAAAAATCTTATATTTTGATGTAATTAAATAAGTTTGAGATTTCTTAAGTTTTGCTTAAAAAATTATTCAAGTATCAGATAAGCACATGCCTAGATTTTTTCTACTTTTTTTGTAGTTATAGTTTTTATATATAACTTTTTGACCTCTTTTAAATTTATTTTAGCATGTGATACTAAGTAAAGATCTCTGATGTTTTCCCCAAAGAGCAAGGTAATTTCCTAAACATAAGATACAGAAGCTGATTTTGTTTTTAACAGCAGCTGCAGTTTCCATTATAAAAAGTTAATTTTTAACTTTTTATTACGATGAACATATATAATATTGACAAACCATGTCAATGTAATTGTTACATTTTGGTGAAGAAAGACTCAAATTTGAGTCAGAAAGATGAGAAAAAGAATTTTTTATGTGATTACTAGTACGTGAAACCAAAGTCACATTCTGCTTGTTTAGATGTGGCCGTGTGTGCCTAACAAAATCAGCTAATCAGTCTCTCTCTTTCTCATGACCCTGTCTACGATGCTAGCAGCAGAAGTAATAAGAGCCGTTTTTCAAGTATTAGCTGCCATAATCATAATCACAGCGAAAGTGCTGTACAAGTATTAGATGCTGCAATAGTAATAATAATATTTAAATAATAAGTGCCATCATGGAAGGATATTTGGTGTAATGAGAGAGTCTAAGAGGGAAAATAGCTCTGGCTGTGGAAATCAGGGAGGGCTTCCTTGAGGAAACAGTGATTGTGCTGAGACCTGAAAGAGGAGTAGAATTAACTGGGCAAGTATGGGAAGTAGGTAAGATGGGTGACGTGGCAGTTGGCAAAGGAAGCAACAAGCATAAGGGATCTAGGGTACAACTCTTTGGACGAACATAGAGACCAGTGTGGCTGGAGCTAACAGCCCAGGGAGCATGCCATGGAGTGAGGCTAGGGAGGTGAGCACGGCCACACCATACAGGCTTGTATGTTTCAGAAGGAGTATTGTTTTTATCTTAAGAGCAGTGGGGGAGGCATGGGCAGATTTTAAGCAAGAGAGCAATCTGATAGGATTTGTGTTTTTAAAAGATCAGGCTGGTAGAGGTACGGAAGTATATTGGAGGAAGGCCAGAGTAGGTGCAAGGAAACCCATCAGGAGATTACTGCAATAATTTAAGTGAAGCTTGGTGTATATGCGGATGTGGGAATGGATGGATATCTGGCCGGGTGGATAGTAACCTAAGTTGAACTGGGCAGACCCATGGACTAATCTTACGGCTAGTTTTGTTTCCCACTGCTCCTTTAAATTTACTCAATTGGATTAATTCTTTTGCCCCTGGATAAAAACTGTGAGCAGATCTTGCTTTTTCAGGTTTGTCTTAGATCATATAAAGAGCCTCAGTATAGACATGCCACAGCCGTCAGAGATGTAAGCTTGATTTAACCGTGAATTGTTTCCTCTTGGTTAGGGCCCAATGTAGGCAGGAGTAAAGGCGGCATGATGGCAGCTTCTCCCTTTCCCCACTTCGCATTTCTCTTCTTTCTTCATTTTGTAAACCAAGTTCCTGCCTCCTCTAGGAATTGAAATGCACAGAGGAAGGAGAGGAACAAAATGGGAGGCTGAAAGTTCTCACCTGACTGGCATTGCTGTGAGCTTGAAACTGTGTTCTTGGGGGCCCATCAAGTGTTCAAAGGTGTTTGCTTTCATGAGCACTGTTGATGGGTTTCGGATTTCATGTTTGATGAAGGTAGATGCATCTCTAGCCCCACTGATTGCCTGTTTCCTTTTCAGCCCCTGGGAATCTGGGAAGAGAGAAAGCAAGCTTTCTCTATTAAAGCCTGTTCATTTCTCCAGGTGGCTTTCTTGGGCAAAGATGCAGATGCCCCTGTGTGTGTGTGTGCACGTGCCCTCCCTCACGTGGCCCACAGCTGATCCCCATGAAACTCTCAGCAGTTGTTTCCCTGATGGCTCTGATAGAGCAAGCCAACCAACCCACTCCCCTCCCCTTTGTGTTCCCAATGGCTAGCCAGCTCGTCTCTCACCTGCAAGGTTTCTAGCTGGGAGTTAGGCACCGATACATCACACCCCCAATTGAAGGGGACAGGAATCAAGCTCCCTGAGTGGAACCCGCTCTTTTCACGAGCCTTCAGGTGAGGAGTAGGTATCCTTCCCTCTCTCTTTTGTGCTGAGGCTGGGACTCAAGCATTCCAAAAGATTTTCTCCCAAAATTCACTCTTTTATTCACCATTATCTGGATTTTTTAATACCTTAGATGTAGATAATTCGTCTAACCAGTTCTTTCTAAGCCACTAATTTTTAGTGATCAAAACAGGGCCATCTGTTTCATGCCCACTTTGAGATCTTATATCGATTATCTCATATTGATTAAAGGAACTAAGCTGAAACTACTTTTTGCCATCCTGTTAGGGAAGGATAGGTATGACTTAGCTTGTAAGTCACAGAAGGTCAGTCTGTGTGACACAGGAGAGTGTATGTGATGGAATGCTGCTGGTTTTCCAGCCTGCATTAGAGGCTTTTTGACCTGTTAGCTCTCATCCTTATCACAACCCTCCCAGTAGGTGGTATTTTTCTCGTGTTACAGATGAGAGGAATACAGAATCAGCATAGTGAGCAGCGTGTCTGAGGTCACATCAGCAGGAAGCGCAGGAGCAGGGACTTGCACTCCAGTCTTTCTGAAACCTGTGCTCACATCAGGTTGCTCCTGCGGGCATCTCATAACTCTGAAATCATTGGTCCCTGAATCATGGGACCATATTCACTTTGGAAATGAGTTTTGGAACAATTTTCTATCTAATGATTCTTCACAAGACTTTAAATCTGTACGAACTTTCTATTGCTGCCATAACCAAGTACACAAGCCTCGTGGCTTAAAACAACATATGTATTAACGTTCATTAGGTTAGAAGCCCAACCTGGGTCTCACTAGGCTGGAATCAAAGAATCAGCAGGGCTTTGTTCCTTCTGGGGAATCTGGGGCAGATTCCTTTCTTGCTTTTTCCAGCTTCTAGAGGCCGCCTGCATTTATTGGTTTACAGCCCCTTTCTTTGTCTTTCAAAGCCACCAGCATTCTATCTCTGCCCTCTGTCCTTAAGTCTTTTTATAGTGCAGCTAGGAAAAGCTTTCCAATCTTAAGAATCGATGGGATTAGAGTGGGCCCACCTGGGTAAACCAGGAGTCTCTCCATCTCCAGGTCTGCCCTTCACCACATTCACCATGTCCCTTTGCTGGGGCAGGGAATGGATTCAGAGAGGCTCAGGATTACAGAGTGGACACCATGGAGGCAGTTGTCCTTCCTGCCACAATAGAGAGGCTCTTTAAATGATGAATTTGAAAGAATTATTTTATGGACATTGTAATTTTAATCAAATCCCTTAGATGCTTCCTTCAGTGTATGCTACCATTAACAATATAGACATGCAGATCTAATATCAGTTTGATTTTTCCTTGCTTTTAAAACATCAATTCATAGTACAATTTTACTAAATGATTTTGTTTACATCAGATTTGAAACTTCATATAAATACATTGCTGCTATTTTCAGTTCAACATTAAGTACCTATGGAGTGTCACAGAAAAAAATGTTTAAAGTAATATTTTTGTTGTTATTTTTTAAATCCAGATTTGGACTTAAAGCCACCACTAAAATCAACTGGAAGCAATTTCTAACATCATTTCATGAGCATCAGGGGTTGGAAATTAGCAATAAAGTCTCCCTGACAAAAAGAAATAGGTACGTTTAAAAAAAAAAAAAAACAAATTTTAGTTAAACATAATACACAAAAGATCAGAGAATACCAGTGTTCCTTTTTCTGCGTTTATTGAATGATCGATTAGTCTCCATTAAATAATTGCCAACTTTTATATAATGATTTACTGTTTACAAATTTTTCCTATTTAAAGCTGCCTTAAACTGTAAAGTTGGTATAATTATTATTTCAATTTCTAGATGAGAAACATAAGACGGTACAATCGTAACTCAGTCACCTGCTCCAAGTGTGGTGGAGGCAGCTATGAACCACAGAGGCTCCAGGCACCCACGCATGGCAGCACTCCTCCCCAGCTCTAAGTGTGTCCTTGTAACATTGTATATAAATGTGTATTTGTTAGGTGTTACATGGAAAGGGACAATACATGTTCATTTGTTTTCCAGCCACTGTCTGTGTGGTGGTGCAGATATCATGGGTCTTGGAAATTATTTTTCTATCATTATTTCTGTTTTTGTTCTAATACCTGTTATGACCTCAGATTTGCAATATCACATATATTGTGGTGGGGGCCCAAAAGTGTTTTAAAAAATATTTGGTATGAAATTTTAGAATTTAGCTTTTTACGCCGAAAAGTATTTTATGTTGGTACGTATCCTGTATTCATTGCCCTATGTGAATCTTAAAGAAAAAAAACCAAACAGACTTTATAATCTTGGCACACTCATTGAGAGTGCTGTGCTCTACTGTAAAGTAAAATATACCATGGTATTAATTCCCATTTCGTGGGTTCTGCCCCTGTCTCGGGGTTTACGAAGATTTAATGAACTGCTCCGGTTAGCAGTCTTGCAGGTATTCAGAGCACTCCCTCTGCTTCAGAGCTGCAGTCTCTGAAGCCGAGACTTACATTCCTTACATGAGGTTACTTCTGTTTCTTTATAATTTTCTTGTCTGATAGCACATTTTCTAGGGGAGCTGTCAGAATTAAACTTAAAGTTGTGTTTATTTTAAAACAGTGGTTCTCAAATGGGGACAATTTTTCCTCCCAGGAGACATCTGGCAATGGTCACGGGACATATTTGGTTTTCACACTGAGGGTGGGGAAGCTACTGACAGAAGCTGATCATAATCCCAGAAGACACACCTCAAACACCAGCATCCTGAAGGTTGAAATCTTAGCAGATTAAAATCCTGAAAATATAATTCTAGAAAAAATAATTTAAAAATTTTTAAAAAGATATTTATTTACATTTGTAGAAGGGGATTTATCTGAGAAACATAAAAACACAACAGAATATTTCAGAGGCCACATTACACAATAAAATAGGCAATAATGACACATATTTTGACAAGCATAAGCCCCTCAGATATACTAGTGACCATCACATAAATGTGACAGTTGTGAGCAAATGAACCCTATTCATAAAGAAATAGGTCAAAAAGTGAAATATTCAAATGTATATCATTATCATGCCCTTGGCAACTTGGTACCCACAGGCATCTCCTTAAACCATACTTAATTTCCAAATAACAACAATAGCAAGGTCATAGTTCCACCTAGCATGATACAACTATGCTGTGTACAACTGAAAACACACCAATCCCTTGCCCAGAATTTGGCTTCTTTCAGGATTTTAAACTTTTTATTTCTTTTTTTTTTTGAGACAAAGTCTCACTCTGTCACCAGATTGGAGTGCAGTGGCCTGATCTTGGCTAACTGCAACCTCTGCCTCCTGGGTTCAAGCAATTCTCCAGCCTCAGCCTCCAGAGTAGCTGGCACTACAGGTGTGCGCCACCTCACCCAGATGATTTTTGTATTTTTAGTGGAGACAGGTTTTCACCATGTTGGCCAGGATGGTCTCGAACTCCTGACCTTGTGATCTGCCTGCTTGTGCCTCCCAAGTGCTGGGATACAGCTGTGAGCCACTGTGCCCGGCCGAGATTTTAATCTTTCGAGATTGTGATTTTTGTGATGTTAGACATTAGGGATTTTAGAATTTAGAGATTTTGATCTTTTGGGATTTCAACATTTGGGATTGCATCTTTCAGGATTCAGATCCAAACCTGCACTGATAACTAGCTGGGTATAGGCCAAGGATGCTGCTCCGCATCCTGCAGTGAGTCACCACAAGAGGGAGCTCTCCAGCCCCTATGTCACGGATACCCAGTAGGTAAAAACTGCTATAAAAAGCATCTATGCATGCCCCAGTGCTGGCGGTCTCTTCAAAAACGAGGTTCCAACAAGTCACATGAGGAACTTAGACTCAGGAAGCCAGCACATGTTTCTGGAAGGCGGTGGTAGGCATATGCTTATTGTTTCTGCCCAACTGGAAGATGCTAAGATGGCTGTATAGATGCAGCAACAGAAACTCCCAGACAAATCTGAGAGTGGTTCCGCAGGTAAACTGATTGTCATTCGTTGTTTCATGGGAAGGGTACACTCTAGTAGAACATCAAAAAAGAGAGGCAGCCAATGGTATGTTGTGATGAGGTTCTGACAAGTCTCCCTTCCTGAGCAAAGCCCATGTTGAACTTGGATTTGGTCTCCAGAGGGGGTGGTCTTGGCCTTCAGGAGCACACATGTACACTGATGGGCCCTGAGCTCAGGGATGAAAGAAAGACACCATAGAGGAAAAGGGGGATCTAACAATGTAGGGGGTTGTGGCCATTGTTAATGAAAAGGGAGAGGCTGAGAAGGCTGTTGTCCTCACACTTCTAAAACGGAATATGAGCCCTCAGTTGTCATGTGGATGAGACAGCTACAATGTGCTGCCCACATGGGAGGGAGGGACCACGGACCCTTTAATGGTCTTGACACCAAAACCACAGATGTGCAAGATGGCTGATGAGTTGGTCTTGTGGGGAGAAGGGTTGGTACAGCAAGGCTCGCCCGCACCTGAGGCCTGCATTCATCTTGTCTCTCTGATCACAGTAACTGAAGTTCACCTGAGTCCCACAGTGCGGCACATTGTCAGGAAAAAGAGCTACCCTCAAAGAAAGCACTATCGTATTTTGGTGAGGGTGCTTGTTTCTTGCATTAAGAAAGAACAAAGTTCAAGAACGTAATCGTATTCCTGCTTTTCTCCTAATCCTCTTGTAGCATCAACTCTAGAAATGAATCTCACGAGGAAAACATCATCACAAAGTTATTTAGACACACCGAAGATCGCTCTCCATCACTGAAGAAAGCATTACTGATAATCAACACTGTAAGATTTTGAAACCCTTCTCTTGTGAAACACTCATTGTTTCTAAGAATGCAAACACTCAGAACGAAACCAATTAAACCTCCATATTCGCTCACATATCCATCCAGCAAACATTTCTTGAGCTCCTGTTACATGCTGGGAATTGTTCTGAGTGCTTAGTGATAGAAGCTGTGACCTCAAGAGTTGAGTCTAGTTGGGAGGAGAGATGATGGAAAATTAATTGCAATACAGCAAGATAAGTGCCAATAGTGACGGGAACAATGTGGGACGAGATCATAATGGATGTAGTGACTCGTCATCGGTCACTGTTTAATTAGCAATCCAGACCTGGTGACCTTTCCCTACCCTAACCTGCAGTTGATCAGTTCCCAACCCACTTACTGCCCCAAACAGGAGCATATTCTTACTGCCAGAATAGCCTATTTAATTTTTAACTGCTCTATAAAGAGAGATTAATTCGTGAATTTGCAACCTGCTTTTTCTCCCTTTCAGCATCAGCTCTTGTCTTGCTTTCATATTGTTTTAGAAAGCAGCAGCTGGATCCTTTGATACACAGTGATATTTGCTAAGTGTGTTCGGTAACGGAAGCTCTAGCGAAGAGTGAGGAGTAGAGTGAGTTACTGTTCTGAGACTCACATAGGACTGCGTACAAATGATTTCAGAGGCCAAAGGCGTCCCTTAGTTCAGCATCAGCCTCCTAAAACTTGCCACGGAGAGGATGTCTGGGAGTGTGAGGGTGGTGCCCCATGGAGAAGCCAGCACTGCCTGGAGGTGGCCTACAGGTTTGCGGTTTGCTGTCTGTGGAGACCCCAGCACCTGCCTCAGCCATACTAGAATGCCATTGCGTGGGATTTCCAAGCAGTGTGGATTCAGAAACGTGGGGTTCTTTGAATGAATCTTTAGGCCTATATGACTGTCTTAAATGATTCAGAGGTATATACACTCAATGCTCTCAAAACCTCAGCGAGGCAAACATCATTATTATTATTATTTTAGAGACAAAGTCTCGCTCTGTTGCCCAGGCTGGAGTGCGGTGGTGTGATCTCAGCTCACTGCAACCTCCACCTCTTGGGTTCAAGTGATTCTCCTGCCTCAGCCTACTGAGTAGCTGGGACTACAGGTACGTGCCACCATGCCTGGATAATTTTTTGTATAATTTTTTTTAATAGAGACATCACTGTGTTAACCAGGATGGTCTCGATCTCCTGAGCTCGTGATCTGCCTGCCTCGGCCTCCCAAAGTTGGGATTATAGGTGTGAGCCACCACTCCTGGCTACAAACATGATTATTATCTCCATCTGACAGATGAGCAAAGGAGGCCTCGGTGCTAAGTAATTCTCCTGAGGCTATCCAGATAGTGGTGGTAGAGGATGCCAGGCTCCAGAGCAGCCACACTCCAGCACTGGGCAGGGCTGCCTGGGACCCTGCTGGCTGAGCCACCTGGGAAAGAAGAAGCGAGGCCTCTGTGTGTTAATCCTCCTCAGGTTCTAATAGTATACTGAAGTAATTTAATTAAAAATAGGGAAACCTTCATTTCCTTTAATGGAGGACTGTACAATAACATGAATCACTCCAACTATGAGACTATTTAAAAGTCATTGTTGTGCTATTCGACTAGAGATCAATAAACTGTGTAGGTTAAGAATTGAGTACGTAGTCCATGCTGGGCCCTGCGCTGGGCACTCAGGCTAAGCACATGGATGATTGATGCTAAGTCTTTGCCGATGAGCTCACACTCTGGGGTATCACATCATGACATTAACAAGCAGATACTTTAGAGTTACATAGTGCATGGTTTCAGAGTGAGATTTCCCTCCCCTCCCCTCCACTCACCCCACCATGTGCCTCGCCACAGAAAGGACTAGGTAAGAAGGAGAACAAGGGTGGGAGCCAGGAGTGGGCAGGTCTGGGTGTTTTGCCTGGCTGCTCAGGGCAGTCGTGGGAAACACATCTCTCTCCTGCTCTAGAGAAGAATGCAGAATGTTTAGAAGAAAGACTGCTTTACATCCACGCCAAGGCATGCATCCCATTTGCTATATGTGCTGTCTCCAAACGCTGCCACCAACTCTGCAAGTGGAATCAGCTGCTGTGACCACTTACATTAAAATTAGGTGTGGCTCACTTCCTATCAATCACCCAGAAGCAATTTGCATCCTGCCTTTTTAACCTAGTCTTGATGTTATTATTTGCAGCTGACATGATTTTGTTACTAGAAAGTCCAATAGAATCTTCCCAGACAACATTAGAATTAATAATAGAATTTAGAAGGTCATTGGATACAAGCTCAATACACAAAGATCAATAATATTTCTATAGTCTGCAATAAAGAATCAGAAAAAGATGAATTTTCGAACTATTATTTCTAGTAACATTTAAAAAAATCAAATATCTAGAAATATATCTTACAAAAGTGTGCAAATTCTCCATAGTGAAGACTACAATGATTGCTTACAAAAATAATGCCTTTCCTTCACAAACTTTCAGAAAACACAGGAAGAAGGAACACTTCCAGACTCATTCTGTGAGGCTAGTATTACCGTGATACCAAAAACAAAGTCATCTCAAGAAAAGAAGCACAGGCCAATATCCTTTGTGACTGTAGTCGCAAAAATTCTCAGCAAAATATTGGCAAACCCAACCCAGAAACACACAATAAGGATCAAGTGCTGGGACCACATGGGATTTATCTGAGGATTGCAGAGCTGGTTTAACTTCCCCCAAAATCAATTAATATAAAATACAACATTAATAGAGTTAGGGACAAAATTATGTGATTATCTCAACAGATGCAAAAACAGCATTTGAAAAATCCAACACCTGTTTGTGGTAATAACTTTCCACAAATTAGAACAGAAGAGAAATACCTTCACCTGATAAACGGCGTTTGCAACAAACCCATAGCCAACAGCACAGTTAATGGTAAAAGGCTGAACGCCTTCCCCCTAAGATCAGGAACAGCCCGAGAATGTCAGCTCTTGCTACTTCTAGTCAACACTGCTAGAGTTCTGGACGATCCAATCAGGGAAGAAAAAGAAAAGGCACCAGGATTGAAAAGATAGAAGTAAAACTCTGTTCACAGACAATACAATCTTGTGTGTAGAAAATTCTAAGGAATTTGTGCATATGTGTGTATACGCATGCTGCTAGAACTAATAAATGAATTTATAAGGTCGCAGAAATAAAAAATTAACGTACAAAAATAAGTTATATTTCTATAAAATAGCTTCTATAAACTAGTTTCTGAAAAGGAACTTCAGAAAGCAATTCCATTTACAATAGCATCAAAAAGAATAAAATACCTGGGAATACATTTATCAAAAGAAGTGCCAAACTTGTACACTGAAAATTACAAAACATTGTTAAAGGAAAGTAAAGAATATGTAAATAAATGAAAATACATTCCATATGTATAGATTGGAGGCAATATTATTAAGATGACAGTTCTCTCCAAATTGCTTTATAGATTCTTTACAAACCCTATCAACATCCCAGCTGGCTTTTTTTTTTCTTTTTTCTTTTGAAAAATTATCTGAAAATTCATATAGAAATACAAAGGTAGAAGAACAGCCAAAATCTTGGAAAATAAGAACAAAGTTAGAATACTTACATTTCCAGATTTTGAATCATAGTGTAAAGATTTTGAATCGTAGTAGTAAAGACTGAGTTATTGATTTGAGGACCAACATACAGATCAATGGAACAGAATTGAAAGTCCATAAATAAACCCTTACATTTATGGTCAATTTATTTTTGACAAAGTCAGTGGAGGAAAGGAAAATGTGTGTTAAAATGTTAAGAGGACAATTGGATATCCATATGTAAAAAGATGAATTCAGTCCCTTACCTTATACCATACACAAATAGATCTAAATATAAAAGCTAAACTGATAAAACTCTTAGAAGAAAAACGTATATAAATCTTTGTGAGCATGTGTTAGGCAAAGATTTCTTAATGACACCAAAATATAACACATGTTGAAAAAAATACGTAGGATTTTTATCAAAATTAAGTTTTATGCTTCAAAAGACACCTTTAAGAAAGTGAAAAGACAAACCACAGACTGGGAGAAGATATATGCAAATCATCTATCTAGTAAAGGACTTGCATCTAGAATATACAAGTACTTTTAGAACTCAATATGAAAACAACCTGATTTTTAAAATGGGTAAGATATATTAATAGGCATTTTACCAAAGAAGATCTATGAACAGCCAATAAAATCTTTTATGAACCAATGAAAAGATACTTGACAGTCTTGGTCACTAGAGAAGCTCAAAGTCACTAGATACCACTTTTCACCCTCTAGGATGGCTATAATCAAAAAGACAGACAATAACAAATGTTGGCAAGAATGTGGAGATACTGGAACTCTGATATGCCGCAGGTGAAAATGCAAATGGCACAGCCACTGTGGAAGATGGCATGGCAGTTTTTTAAAAAATTAAATGTGACTCAGCCGGGCGTGGTGGCTCAAGCCTGTAATCCCAGCACTTTGGGAGGCCGAGGCGGGTGGATCACAAGAGATCGAGACCATCCTGGTCAACATGGTGAAACCCCATCTCTACTAAAAATACAAAAAATTAGCTGGGCATGGTGGTGCGTGCCTGTAATCCCAGCCACTCAGGAGGCTGAGGCAGGAGAATTGCCTGAACCCAGGAGGCGGAGGTTGCGGTGAGCCGAGATCGCGCCATTGCACTCCAGCCTGGGTAACAAGAGCGAAACTCTGTCTCAAAAAAAAAAAAAAAAAATTAAATGTAACTCATAGGACCCAGCAATTCCACTCCTAGGTATCTGCCCAAAAGAAATAAAAGCATGTCCACACAAAGACTTGCATGCAAATGTTTATAACAACATTATTCATAATTTCCCAACTGGAAACAATCCAAATGTTCATCAACTTGTGACAAGATAAACAAAGTAGTGCTCAATTGGGAATAAAAAGGAGCAAAATACTGATACATGCTACAACATGGACAGTCCTCAAAAGCACTATGCTCGGAGAAAGAAGCCAGATGCAAGAAACCTTGTATTTATGATTCTATTTACATGAAATATCTGGAAAGAGGCAAATATCTAGAGACAGAAAATGGAGTCGTTGCCTTAGGCTGGGGCTGGAAATGGGGAATGACTGCAGATGTGCACAGGGTTTCTTTTGGGGGTGCTGAAAATATTCTAGAATTAGATAGTGGTGATGGTTACACAATGCTGTAAATTTATTAAAGTCACTTAAAAAAATAAGCTGTCATTAATTTCGATTTAGACATTAAAGAATTGATTATGACTCCCAAGCCAAATGGTAAGCATGCATATCTCCTAAAGTAGTTAGAGAACCTTATATTCGTTTCAGATTTTGGACCCCCAAATAATAGTTGACATTTGCACACTGCTTTATTGCTTACTTAACAAATCCTTTTGTCACGTTAATATTCACTGTGTCTCCGTATGAGGTGAGGGTTCTTTATTTGCCCTGTGTTTACAGTAAACAGTATCTCTCAATTTTGGTATTCAGCTTACTTACTGATAAATTTTTATTCTAGAGGAAGAAATTTGCCTTACAGTATTTTGCTCATGAGATGTTTTCTTTATGCGGCATGGCTGAAATTTTTCTCACAAAGTAATTGTCCATTTATGTAATGGATTAGATTGTTGGTGGAGAAAACTAGCATAATTTATTCTTACTAAATTGGCAAACTGTAATTGAACTGATGGGAAGTTTTGTGCCCCATGCAGTTGAACTCCCCCAGCTCTCAGGTCGGGTAGGGAAGTGAGGAGTTGTTCAAGCCACTCAAGCCCGTGGGGAAGGGAATCAGCCTGAGCTTGAGAAATGGACCTCATTCCTCTCCCAAGGTTGTGTCCTGATACAGAATGATGTAGGAACTGCACCTAGAAAATTCTAGTATTCCCCTACGCGAGTGCGCGCGCACACACACACACACACACACACACACTCTGCTCATCAATCTATGTATTTGCATTTCTAATCATAATTCTATTTGGCCAAAACTTGCTCTTTATTAAATGATGTTAAACATACATACGTAATACTTTTTTCTTCCTTTTTTCTTTTTTAAAAAAATTCCCTTATATACACTCTGATGCTCAGAAACCCGATGGACAAATTCCAAGGGAAGAATTTCGACATATTCTAAATCGTGTGGCTGTAAAACTAAGTAATTTGGAATTCAAAGAGTTAATGCAGACACTTGACCCTGGGGACACTGGAGTGGTCAACACCAGCATGTTGATTGATCTGATTGAAGAGAACTCTAGGGTGAGTTTTATAACAACTTTCTGTTTGGTTTTCTCTTTATGGCAGGAAATTTCAGAATTCCTAATAAGTGAGGCAGGTGAAATATGGTTTAAATAAATTAATGACTTCGCAGTTTTCAACTCAATCATTTTAAGTAAGTGTCAAGTGTTTAAGAGTGGTTTGATTTTAACTTTTAGTTTCTGAATCTTAAAAAAGGATGGTAATTGACATTGCAGAAAACCCATGCCTGAACGAGAGTGCTTTATATACAGGGTGTAACTCATGGAACTTCGACAGCCCTCCTCTTGCAGCCATGTCTTTAAAAGGAGAATTCGTCCCGAGGTGGGCAGATCACGAGGTCAGGAGTTCAAGACCAGCCTGGCCAACATGGCAAAACCCAGTCTCTACTAAAAAGACAAAAATTATCTGGGTGTGGTGGTGGGAACCTGTAATCCTAACTACTTGGGAGGCTGAGGCAGGAGAATCACTTGAATCTGGGAAGCAGAGGTTGCAATGAGCCAAGATCCTGCCACTGAACTCCAGCCTGGGCAACAGAGCAATTCTCTGTCTCAAAAAAAAAAGGGAGGGGGGTATTTGTGAGTGACTATTCTGGTTCTCATTCATATTTTTAGAGTTTCATACCGTATGTTGATTCAACTTCCAAAAAATAACTGTGTATTGCCATTAGTGACTAGCATTAGCCTTTAGTATTTGTTTCTTTTGACTGAAAAGTGAACAGTTTTGTTATTAGAAATGCTTCTATAATAGCTATTAGCATTTAAAAATTTTAAAGAACTTTATCAGATTAATTTCAGATAATGTATGCAACAGGCTTTAACAGACTCTTGTTGAAATGCTTTTAAAAAGCTTTAACAGGTACAAATTAGCTTTTAATTTTAGATTTATGAAGTTGGCATCCCTATGAATCAAAATCAAACCAGTAATACCATGAGATGCACTATTTCCCTAAAGGTGATGTTTCTATTGAATGGATCTGAATGGGGTTCCTTGCTTTGGGGAAAGCTTTAAGAAGGTTTAACTGAAACCAGCTGCAATCTATTCTGATGGTTTCTGTGCAAAATGCAATTAATTAATCACCAAGGAATCCTTTCCATCTGTTGTGGTTTTGCATCATGGTCTTGGGAAGAGTTTGTGGCATACTTCTTGGTTTAAAATGGGACAGTTTATTGAGGTAAAAGTGTCATATTTAAATTACCTCCTCTTGGTACATGTAGAAATTTTCTACCAACATTTTGGAGGTAATTTTAATAGACCATAATACATAACTTATTCAAATATTTTGTGATTATACAAGTAACAGAAATTCATTGTTGATTAGAAAATATCCCAAACTACACAGGTGAAAATAATGATAAAAATCCCAAATCCCAACACTCAGAGATATTCACAGTTAACATTTTGACAAATTTTCTTCTACTCTTTGTGTGTGGCTGTGCACATTTTTTCATTAACATGGTTGAACTCATTATTTGTATGATTTTGTATCCCATTTTTCCAACTTCACATTATATGATGAGCATTTCCACCCCATCTCACATCATTAAAAACTCATCATAAACAAGATTTTCACTGGTGTCTGCGAGTGTTCTGTGCATGTACTTGTCACTGGGGCGGTTAGGCTGTTTCTCTGTTTACTTTCATTATGCTGGATATCGTTGTGCTCAGATCTTCATTCACATCGAAATATTTCCTTAGAATGGATTTTAGAAGTGGAAATATTGGCCCAAAAGGTGTGGGCATTTTTATGATTCTGGATATATGTATATCCAGACATATTGTATATCTGGTTATATTATAATATATAATGACATCATATATTACATATTATTATGTTTTTACAATTATATTAACTATATTACATCTTGGTACATGCTTTTTGTATCACTTTATGATTATTTCTATAGTATGTATTTTTAGAAATGGAATTATATAAAATATATTTTATATAACAATAATTGAATGGAATAGAATTATACTATATCTGGATATATTATATATGTAGACATTTGTACACTGCTTTATCACTTAATAAATCCTATATATATTGTACTATATATGTCATATAATACACATTATATATTACAAATTAGCTATATTATATATTAACTATATTACTATATTATATACTATAATATAGTTGTTGTATATATAAAAGTCCTTAATGCATAAAAAGCCTTGTGATCTATTTGCTAGACAATGGGTAGGAATAGGCTGACAGTTAAAGTGTTGGCTGTAGCCCTTACCTGTCCCACATAGGTGGTAGATGAGTGTGTGGACCTGTGCACCCAGGCCGTGTGTGTGACATATGGAAGCCTGAGCATATGCCTTGATTCAGTTTACTGCCAGTGCTTCCGAGTTAGAGCATCCGTGGTGGCCAGGGAATAGAGGCAGCCGGCCAGGCTAGGAGCTTATGCACCTGCATTCAACTCCCTGCCTCCACGCCTCAGGAGCTGTGACTCGAGGCAAATAATCGGTGTCTCCAAGACTCATTTCTTTACCTGTAAACCCAGGTTGATTAGGGCACCACCTTGTAAGGTCATTGTGGGAATTTAACAGGATAGTTCACATAAAATGTTAAGAATCTTTTTTCTTTAAAAACAAAGTAGGCACATAAGCAATCCCTTCTCCATGTGGCAAGTGGTGTGATCTTGGCTTAATATAAATCAGATCATGTCTGTCTTCAAGGCTTCACCTTTCCAAAGGCTTTCTGGGAAGACCTCCTCGTCCAGTTCTTCAGGCCTCCCGCTGCCTGGCCGCCCCTACCAGGCCTTAGCGTGTGCTGCATCTGCTGCCCAGGATTCCTTCCAGCTCCTCGTAACCTATGTTACCACCTCCAGAGCTCAGTGTCCCCGGAGCCTGCATAGGGCCCAGCCTCAGAGTCAACATTTGTGGCCTGATGTTGTCCTGACTCCACAAAGGCAGAGGCCTTGCTGTTATCACTGTCCATTGTACTATAGGGGACAGCCAGTGTCAGCCACACTCACACAATTTATCGAATGAGTGAATTAACATGAATGAAGGAATTGGAATAATTAGAAAACACAGATGTGCAATAGACAAAAAAAGTCACTACTAATTCTAACACCAAAGCATTGTTATTTACCATTATACTTTGCTGTATGTTCCTCCAAATCCATATACCAGCACACCCATACTTTCATTTTTTAAAAACAGCTTTATTGAGGTGTAATTTATATTCAAAAAGTGTACGTATTTAATGTATGCAGTTTGATGAGTTTAGATACCCATTTCTATAGATTATAGCTATTTTATTTAAAAACGAGCCCATATAATGACTGCTTAGCCTATATTGTCACTTATTGACATACTGTTAACACTTAATGTCAATACAAGTTCTGCTATTTAATTTAATTTAATTTATTTTAGAGACAGAGTCTCGCTCTGTCACCTAGGCTGGAGTGCAGTGATGCGATCTCGGCTCACTGCAACCTCCACTTCCTAGGTTCAAACAATTCTCCTGCCTCAGCCTCCCGAGTACAGGGATTACAGGCACCCACCACCGTGCCCAGCTAATTTTTGTATTTTTAGTACAGATAGCGTTTCACCATGTTGGCCAGGCTGGTCCCAAACTCCTGATTTCAGGTGATCTGCCCATCTTAGCCTCCCAAAGCACTGGGATTACAAGCTTGAGCCACTGTGCACAGCCTGCTATCTAATTTTAAAAGATACTAAGTAACTATTATAATTTGGATGCTCATTTATTTTTTATTTTTAAAATTTTGCTGCAATAAGCATCTTGACACTGGCTTTTTTGTACCACTCTATGATTATTTAGTATAAATTTCAAGAAATGGAATTAAAGAATATGTTTTATTCTATTAATATTTTAATAATATTTTAATAATTTTTGAGGAGAATGATATATGTGAAGTACAGAATGCCAAGGACAGGAGGGGATGCAGTGAGAGGAAGTTTTTTCCGTAGCCAGCCCCGAGCTACGGTTCTCCCCGCCAGCACCAGCCTTCATTGCTGTAGAGTCTGTAAATTATCAAATTGTCAAATAGTATCCAAATGTACCTTGAGACAAAAATATCTCCCAGAAAGTCAGATCAATTTACACTCCCACCATTTCAGAAACCCCCACCCACAAACAAAAGGCAGTTTGCTTACTTCTGCATTTTTTGCCATTCTGAAAGGCAAAAATGCCATCTCATTATTCTTCTACTTTGCATTTATTTAATTTCTAGGGGATAGGTTTTTTTCATGTTTATTGTGCTTTTCTTTAAGTGAAAGTTAAATTTTTTTAACTTTCATTTTAAGTTCAGGGATACAAGTGCAGGTTTGTTACGCAAGTAAACTTGTGTCATGGGGGTTTATTGTACAGATTATTTCATCACCCAGGTATTAAGCCTAGTATCTATTAATTATTATATTTTTCCTGATCCTCTCTCTCCTCCCAACCTTTACCCTCATTCTCCTGAGGGTGAAAATTCTCCTAAAATTCTCAAGCGTGCATTGTTCCCCTCTATGTGTCCATGTGTCCTCATCATTTAACTCCCACTTACAAGTGAGAACACTTGGTATTCCATTTTCTGTTCCTGTGTTAGCTTGCTAAGGATAATGGCCTCCAGCTCCATCTATGTCTCTGCAAAGGACATAATCTCATTCTTTTTTATGACTGCATAGTATTTCAAGTTAAGTGTTAGAATCCTTATTTTCAGATGGGTATTAGAGGGCAGACTCAGTTGTTCAAGGTCTCAAAGCTGATGGCTGATTAAGGATAGAGCTAGGATTCAGGTCCAGGTCCACCTGCCTCCAAAGCTCCTAATGACTTTCATGCATGGTATTTATTTATATACCTTCTCTTTCCCAATTAGATGAGAAAAAATTCTCCCTGTACAGACACTAAGACACCTCTCCTCCCGGCCTGGGATTCAGTAAGTAGCACTCGCCTTCTTTCTGCGGCGACTGTGTTTGGGGTTTGGGGTTACTGTTTCAAGAGCTTACAGAGGTACAGCTTAGGAAATATGTTTGCTTTTTATTTTAGGTGGAAGAAGTTGTCCATGATACAATTACTAAGAACCTACAAGCTTTTTATAACATGCTATGCTCATATGACCTTGGAAACACAGGGCTCATTGGCCGAAATAATTTCAAGAAAATCATGCATGTGTTTTGCCCGTTTTTAACGAACGCACATTTCATAAAGTAAGTTTTTTGTAACAAAATTCATTCATGTCATATTTTTCACAAGGCCTGTTCCATAATTCCAAGCCTTTTTCAATGTGTTTTTGAAATATTAGTAGGTAATATTGATAATAACTGCTACTCACTGAATCCTTGCTAAGCACTGGACATTGCTTAAGAGTCTGACGTACATTATAGTCCTTATCACAGCCGTGTAAAGGTAGCTAGTGTTAGTCCTTTCTACACACCAAGAAATGGAGGTCTGGAGAAGCTCAATACTCACTCCAAGTCACTCAGCTGGTGAGTTGAGAGACCTGTGTTCCCCACTGGGTCTCTATGATTCCTGAGCTCTCTTTTTTCTTCTTTTCTTGCAAGCAAATATCTTTCCTCTATTTTTTTTTAGTAATATCTTGTAAAGTATAGTTCAAGATGCACAGATTTCATCTCAACTCTTGTTGAGTTGAGACATTTTTATGTGCGTGAGTTGCAGTGGTTAAATATGTTACATTCTGATAGAGCATTGTTAGCAAGAGCTTCAGGTAGTTTTGAAACCATAATGATCAAATGCTGATAACTGAGTAATTTGATGATACACAGTCAACTATTATTGCAGACCAGTCATGGTTAAGACAGAGCAAAGTTCTAGACACTTCATTTCTGGGCCAATAAATGTCATCATGGGCCACAGCTGATGAGTGCCGAAGGCTCACTTCTCCCCACGCTTGCACATGCTGCAGAGCTGGGAAGGAGGAAGTCCATGCTCTAGTCTTTTTGCTGTTTCACCTCCCAGGGTGTTTGGCTATGGTTGGCTATCCCATAAACAATAGCTTGAATTACATTTTTATATCACTTCAGTTTCAAACTTCATTTGTGATGGACAAGCCAAAGCTGGAAGGGGACCAATGTCAGATGTTAGATGGCTGAATGGGGATGGGAAGAAAGGGAAGGCAGCAGCCTCTGTCATACCCTTTTTGACCTCCTCCCTCTGATCGCTCTCTCCCTGCCCACATCTCCCCTTGGGGCACAGAGCCTGGCTGCTTCCCTTGAGGTCCTTTTGCAGATGGCCTTGAGAACTGACCGCTGGAAACCCCACCAGTCTGCGGAGGACAGTGCCTCCCTTATCGCCACCTGAGTGTCCTGCTGTCTGCTCAGACCTCCTCTTGAAGAGCTGAGACCTGGATGACCTTAGAGATTGTGCGGGCCAGGTTTTCCCAAAGTGAGGGCAGTGATTTGGGCAATTACTTTGGAGGAAATTGATTGAATCCCAGGGAAGAAAGTTATTCTCTCTTCAAGGATTCTAACCATCCTTCTCATTGATTTTGTTTACACTACATTGATTTAAAGTGACACAAAACACAAGTGGACCTACTGGTAGTTAGCGGTCACTCAAGTCTCTTTTCTGTGAACATTCATGATTCCTAACCTATTTTTTAAAAGGTTGGTTTTTGTAAGAAGAGGAGGATTTAGAATAAGGGGAGGGGTGAGGCAAAGGCTTTACTATCAGGAGGGGCTTGGTGTGTCTGGCTCGAACATTTGCATTTTTATCCAGTTCTTATTGAATGTTGATAGAAAGATCAGTTTGCTAGAGTATGGAGAAAACACTGGAATGCAGAGAAACGGTGAGACTGCAAACTGAGAGAGGGTTCTAGAGAGTTCAGGTGAGAGACGGCGAAGGCCTGTGCTGAGCAGTGGCCTGGTGGGGAAAAGAAATGAGGCCACATTGCACCTCACGGTGTGTGGGGGGGGAAGGGTTCAGCTACTCTTGGCCTTTGTCTGTATTGGTTGGGCCATTCTCTTACTCCTTCACTCAGTCTTTCATTCAGTGAACATCAGAGAGTGCCTCCTGCATACAGGCTATCCCAGGTAATAGGCTTACACAATCCCTGTATTTCCAAGGTAGTCCAGAGTAGAGGGAAAGAGCTGAAGATAAACCCAGCATGGCACTGAAGTGCTGTAGCAGATGTGTGCTTGGTGCTTCTAGAGCATGGAGGAGGAATGCTCGCTTACAGTGCAGTGACCAGGAGCAGGTGGTGCAGATTGCAGGGAAGCTTCCCGGGGACATGGTGCTTGAGTCTAGAGAAAAAAGAAAGGAAGGACATTTCAGGATATGGGATGCCAGAAGAAAGCCCAGAGGGCTGGAGGAAACTAGCATACTCCAGCCATCCTGCATGGTGCGTTCAGGGACTGGCAGGTCAAACATGACAAGTGGAGTGGGAAGTTTTTCGGGAGAAGAGCAGGAGGGGGGCTGATGCCAGAGGGCCCAGTAGGGCCCAGCAAGGGTTACTGTATCACCATCCTGTGGCCTCAGGATTCATCCAGCAGGGCACTAGGTCTCTACATTTAAATTTCCCCTTTCAAAAATTTTTATTGATTTTAAAAGAAGGCTTTTCTCGCTGCTCTACGTGGAAAACAGCACCACTCACCATAAGGAGGTCATCAGAAGATTGGAACAACAGGATTCCATGCTAGTGGGAGGTCTCTGTCTGCCAAAGGTTTCAAGCATGGGGCTTGCTATGACTTTGTTAAAATGTAGGTTAGGAAGTACAAAAAATATGAGCTATGTTAGACATCACTCAAAGTAAAAGAAATGCAAATGTGCAAACATACATTCAAAGACAGTGCTGACCGGAAGTGGAATGTCGACGCTCTCGACTGGGCTGAGAGGTGGGAGACAGCACCTTTTTGGGAGTGAGTTTGGCGTAACAACGGACCTCCCATTTGTGTCTGCTGCTCTTCCTGGAACATAGATCATGGCCACATTTGGGGACTCAGGACACATCTTGGAGTGCAGCTGACTGGACTTGCCAGTGCTGTGGATTAGGGTTGGGTGAGAAGGACCCAAGAAGGCCTCTACATTTCTGGCTTGAGCAGCTGGGTATTTGGGATTGTCATTGAGACAGGGAGACTGGGAGAGGAACAGTGTCAGAAGTGAACATCAGAAGTTTTATCTTGGATGCATTCACTTGGAGAGGAGATTGGTGACATGTCACCAGCTACAGTGGGTGGTGATGTGTTTCGGTTCTGTATCCCCACCTAAATCTCATGTTGAATTGTAGTCCTCAGTGTCAGAGGCGGGGCCTGGTGGGAGGTGATAGAATCTTAGGGGTGGATTTTCTGCCTTGCTGTTCTTGTGATAGATTTCTTAAGAGATGTGGTCACTTGAAAGTGGGTAGCACCTCCCACTTCTCTCTCTCTCTCTGCTACCTGCCATGTGAAGATGTGCTTGCTTCTCCTTTGCCTTCTGCCATGATTATAAGTTTCCTGAGGCTTCCGCAGAAGCAGAGCCTGTACCACCAGTAGAACTGTGAGCCAATTAAACCTCTTTTCTTTACAAATTACAGTCTCGGGTATGTCTTTATAGAGAAAGGACTACTGTAGGCAGTCACTCTGTCCACCTCCCCATCCCACCCCACAGTTTCTCCCTAGCCACCCAGCTGCATTTGTCATGGCTCTGGTTATTTATCTGTGTGTATTGATCACCTGTGTCACTCACCAAGGATATAGAAGGCAGGGGCTTTTTCTGTCCCATTTGCTCCTGAAGCCCCAGTATCTAGGGGTGGAACAATGTCTGGGACATGGTTGGGGCTTCCTAAATATTGTGTGAGTAAGTGAATAAATGAAATCTAATGGGCTGGTCATGTAGGCAGTTGGGTATTAGACACAGAGTCTTCTCCAATCCATTCTCCATGATGTAGCCACACACTTCGTCTGTCTAAACTACAAATCTGATCATGTTAAAACTTTGCTTAAAACACTTTTCAGTCCCATTGTCATTAGGAACCATGCAGATGCTTTCAAGGTGGTATGGCTTCCAGGCCCTCCATGTGCCTCTCACCTCCTGGGAGCTCAGACTGTGCAGCCAGGATGCCTGGGGCAACTCCTGGCCCAGCCCTGAATTAGCTGCAAACGTGAGCAAGCTACGTAACCTCTCAGAGCCTCTATTTCTTCATCCAGATATTTCATACTAGAGTTGTGATAAGGATCAAATGAGATCTTATACACAAAGCCTTACTACCTCAGGGCCAAGCATATGCTGAGGTCTCAGCCAGTGCTTGCTGCTGCCTCTGCTGTGCTGGTCTCAGCTCCAGCTATGTTGACCTGCTTTCTATTCCTTGAAAACACTGGGCTCTCTCTTGCCTCTGGGCATTTAGACCGTCTTTCCCTCTGTTCCATGTGAACAGTCTCTCCCAGCTGACCAAAGTTGAGTGAGGTAGGTGTTGTTCTGGTTTGTTCACAGTTGTGGCAACAGTAGTTAGCACAGTGCTTCATACATAGCTACATGAATATTTATGGGAGCGATTATAATACTAGTGAGCACTTATTGAGCAAAGTATGGCTTCGGAGCTCATGCTCAGCCCCCAGCTATATGCAGATCATCGGAATGATATCATAGCACTGTTATTACAGCTGCAATTTATTAAGCACATATACATAAAGTATGTCATCCCCAGTGCTAAGAGCTTTACATGGATTCTCCCACTTGATCATTACAGCAGTCCTCTGAGGTAGCTACTTGTATAATCTGCATTTCATAGATCAGGAAACTGAGGCACAGCAAGGGGAAGGAGTGTGCCCCGGGTCAGAGGTCCTCAGCACTTCTGGTCTCAGGACACTGACACTCTGAAGAATTATCGAGGACCTCAAAGGGCGTTTCTCATGTGGAGTATGTCATTATGTACTGTATCAGAAAATAAAACTGAGACATTTTTAAAATGTTGTTGCCAAAACAAGTATACTTCCTTGCTGTGCTTTCATGTAGGCTCAGGGAAAGCTCTGGGATTTCTTAATAGTGGTTTGTTGAGTGATAATGAGGTTACAGCAGGTACAGCAAGTGTAACTAAAGGTCTCTAGTAGAGAGCCCTGTAGAAAGGCTGTACAAAAACTGAGTTAATCACTGAAAACCTACTCCTGGTTCCTCAATTACACCCTAAGCCTACAACCTTAAAAATGTTAGAAAACACAACCTACACAAGAATGTATTTTATCTGTGGACATGACCACCTATGTTGCCTGATTGACTTTACATGCATAGAAGAACTGAATGAAAAAGGCTAGTTACACTCCAGTGTTGATAGAAAAATAGTTCTGGCCACGCTGATGCTCTGGAAGCATCCTCAGACCACACTCTGTGAGCCCTTCAGTCATATAATTTTTATAATTCTTTATAATTTTCATAATATAATTTTTAATAATTCTTTCTTACATTTACTATATCTGCATTATGGTATACTTTATATACAATAAGCTGCACATTTTTAAATGATACAGTGGGTGAAATTCATCTTGTGTCAATATCTATAAAACCATCACAAGATATCAAATATTTTCACCACCCCCAAAATCTTCCACATGCCCTTTGGCAATTCATCCTCACTTCTCCCACCTCCATGAAACCAGTGATCTGCTCTCTTTCATGATACATTACTTTTTGTTTTCTAGGACTTTATGTATATGGAAGCACACAAGATATTCTGTTTTTTGTCTGGCTTTATTCACTAAGCATAACAATCTTATGATTCATTCATTTTACTTTCTATATACCAACAGTTCTTTCCTTTTTCACTGCCAAGTAGTATTCCATTGAATGGGTTTACCATAGTTTGTGTACACTTTCATCTCTTGATAGGCATAGGTTTCTTTCTAGGTTTTGGCTATTAAAAATAAAGTTGTATATGCGATGTTTGGCTGTTACAAATAAGGCTGTATATATTTGTGTAGACATGCATTTTCATTTCTCTTTGGTAAATGCCTTAGAGTGGTTATACAGTTTTACATTCCCACCAGCAGTGGATGAAAGTTGTAGCTACTTGCATCTTCACCAACACTTGGCAGGGTCAGTCTTTTCCATTTTAGTTATTCTACTGAGTGTGTTCTAATTATTTTTTAAATTCAGACTCTGCAGTAAGTTTCAGGACATTGCTTCAGGAAGAATCTTTTACAAGAAACTTTTGGCATACATAGGAATTGATGGCCCACCCACTGTCCCTCCAGTTCTTGTTCCAAAGGATCAGCTGTTAAGTGAACGTTTACAAAAAGATGAGCAGCAGCAGCCAGATCTTTCCAAGAGGTAAAAATTAAGCAAAATGAATGCACGTATCAAAACCACAGTGGTCTGTCGTGGAATAAGTATTTAGTAACTATTTGTTGACTGAGTCTTTTAATATTTCATTTTGTAAATAAGAAAGATGGCACACTAGAAACACAGTGATTAGAGTCAGGGAATTTTAGAGCAAGCAGAGATCTTAGGAACTATTGAATGTAGCTATTACATTTAGAAATTAAAACACTGATGTCTGAGAGGTTTGAGGACTTGGCTCAGAAGCTTAGTGGCTGGCCTGGGTCAAGAATCCGGGACTCCTGACTCCCAGAGACAATCTGTAACTTCTCTATTACATACCTGCATTCACATTTACTCTCTTCCAGAAATTTAGATTCTTTACCACCATTTAATTTTTATTGCAACACACATCCTTGAAACCAGTTAACATTTTCTAATATGAATGATAGAATGATTAAAATGATTTCCAAATTGAATTGTAACAATAAAACATACTTAGTAATTCTATAAAAAATTAGACTGATGAATATTCTAGCTCTTCTTCATTTTTAAAAATATAGGTTTAGTTTAATGAAAAGATATTATTTAACTTGCTCATTCATAGCTTATAATAAATTCGTAATGAAAGGTAAAATGTAGAACTATTCAGCAGACTTCACTTTGTCATAGCCCTTTTAAAAAGTTCTTACGAGCAATGGGAATATTTTAATGATACGCTAATTAAATTTGAATACCTGGGCTTTTCAGTAGCAGCAGCTTTTATAAATGGGCATAAAGATGGTATTTTAAGAGACAGGTTAAATATTCCATGATAAGATATGTCTGCTTCCTAAAACTGGTGAAAGAAGCAATGGCAATTAAACATTTCATAAAATGTAGCTTTCCTGGGGAGCTCTTAAAAATCAAGAGACGCAGCAGGGAAGGAATAGAAGTCCAATCTCCACAACTGTCTCAGAGCTGTTTCTTTCCCAAAAAGATGGGGCCCAAGAGACTTCCAGAGAGCTGAGGAAGTAACTGTCCTCCAAACACCCACGTCCACACACTCAGACACATCCACACTTACACTCACCAACAGCACATTCAATTCGTATTTTATGAATCAAGCTGATTTATGGAGCAACTGTGGGCTTCCCTTCATTTCCATGGATGTTCGATGACTTCCTTGATCTAGTTACCACAAAATGGCCTATTTCTTTCATTTAAAGCTTTTAAAATGAGCTCTGACTAAATTTTTCCACTTTACAAAAGAATTCTTTTCAACCATGTGTGCTCAGTCACATGCCACCTTTGGCCTGCTCAAAGCATAATTGAAAATCTCAAGGACAATAATGTTCTGTCCCTTCAAGTTCCCCACCCTGGCCTGCCACCGCACATGGGCTTTCACTTGGACACTGTGCTGGGGACACCCAGTACTGGCCCTGGAACCTCCTAGCCAGGGAAGTATAAGAAGCCCCTGAGTCACTCCACCTTTCCCAGCAGGTAAACCCAGGACGGTAAACCTTTTTTTTTTTCTTTTCTTTTTGAGACTGAGTCTCACTCTGTTGCCAGGCTGGAGTGCTGGAGTGTGGTGGCACAATCTCAGCTCACTGCAACGTCTGCCTCTTGGGTCCAAGTGATTCTCCTACCTCAGCCTTCCGAGTAGCTGGGACTACAGGCATGCACCACCACGCCCAGCTAATTTTTGTATTTTTAGTAGAGTCGGGGTTTCACCATGTAGGCCAGGATGGTCTCCCTCTCTTGGCCTCGTGATCCACCTACCTCGGCCTCCCAAAGTGCTAAGATTACAGGTGTGAGCCACTGCCCCCGGCCCGGTAAACCTTTTTCTTTCTTTTCTTTCTTTTTTTTGAGATGGAGTTTTGCTCTTGTTACCCAGGCTGGAGTTCAATGGCGCAATCTCGGCTCACCGCAACCTCTGCCTCCCAGGTTCAAGTGATTCTCCTGCCTCAGCCTCCCCAGTAGCTGGGATTACAAGCATGTGCCACCACACCAGGCTAATTTTATATTTTTAGTAGAGACAGTGTTTCCCCATGCTGTTCAGGCTGATCTTGAACTCCTGACCTCAGGTGATCCACCCACCTTTGCCTCCCAAAGTGCTGGGATTACAGGCGTGAGCCACTGCATTCAGCCCCAGCTTGGTAAACCTTCTTCCCGTCACGAGTTACATGGAAATGGGCGAGGTCTGGAGGAAGCACTCTGCCTGTGTCAGCTGACACCGGTCTAAATACCTGCTTGTGATTTTAGAACCAAGGCCACTGGGGATCAAACCACCCCGACCAAGAAGATGACCAAAGAAGAAGTTACTGAAAAATTGAGAAACCATATACAGCAGCAGGACCCAGCATTTAAAAGACGATTTCTTGACTTTGGCAAGGAGCCTAATGGAAAAATTAGCATGCATGACTTTAAGAAGGTAGGAGAATGGGTTTCTCTTCGTTTCTTTCCTGCAGAAGTTGTTGTTTTCTTAGACTAACAGATTTTAAAGGACAATGGCTTATCCCAGGATGCAGCAGATCCATTTTTAGGCATCTTTCAACAATTTTAAAGGATTTTTTTTGTTCTGGCCAAAAAATTGTCATTGGCAAATTTCTCAGAGCATACTTTCAATATGGGTGTGACCAGCTTTTGGTATTTAAACTTTTACATGTCAGAGGCATTTATTGACACATTGTTTGGCTATCTGCTCCATACCTGGCGCTGTACACAGTGGGGCAGCATGCGGGTGGGAGTACAAAGCCACTCCGGCCCCCACCTGCCAGTGGAGAGTTCCCAGTCACAGAGCTGTGGTTTGGTCCTCTAGAAAGAAAGAAGAAAAAAACAATCTGGCAGTGAAATATGGGAAACGCAGAGTGCTGATTTGCATGTGCTTATGGGAACTGGTGAGTTTCTGCCAGAAAGGGCTCAGCATAGACTTCTGCATAGACTTCTCAGGAATTAATTTAAATGATTGCTTAAAATTCCTATTATGATCCCTCTAGCTAATCATCCTCAGCTATTTTTAAGGAAAGCATTTCAGTTAATATGTAGCAGTGTCCATGTGGACAAATTTAGAAGAAGGCAATGAAATATATTTCCAAGAAGAGAGTAATTACATTAGTGGCCCCTCCATCCGGTGCCTGCCCCACTGCCGGGTGTTGGAATGGGCTCTTTATGGGTCTTATTTCTAGGCCTCCAGACTGCAGCATCACAGAGGAGCATGGATTGGAGGAGGGAGCAGGGCTAGAGGCACAGAAATGGGATTAGGTAGCTATTGATTAGTGAGCTATTGAAACAGTCCAGACCCTCTCCGCTACACAGCCAGAACAAGACAAGATGTGGAGAGCCTTTTGTTGTATAAGCATATGGGAAGGCCAGGAGAATATATTCAAGAAAGACTCAGAAATAAGGGATTGAAGATAGGAAATGAGGAATAGGGGATAAAACATAAGGGAATAGGCCGTGCGCGGTGGCTCACACCTGTAATCCCAGCGCTTTGGGAGGCTGAGGCGGGTGGTTCACCTCAGGTCAGGAGTTCAGGATTAGGCTGGCCAACATGGCGAAACCCTGTCTCTACTAAAAATACAAAAATTAGCCGGGCGTGGTGTCACACACCTGTAATCCCAGCTACTCCAGAAGCTGAGGCAGGGAAATCACTTACCCGGGAGGCGGAAGTTGCAATGAGCTGAGATTGTGCCACTATAATCTGGCTGGGCGACAGAGTGAGACTTAGTCTCAAAAAAAAAAAAAGGAAAGAAATAAGGGAATAAGGGAGAGGAAATGTTCCCAGATTTCTGGTTTGGGGACCAGGTGGCCGATAACCAGTCACTGATGATTTTGTTGAGAGCAATTTCAATGGAGTGAGTGGTAGTGATGGGAGTTGAATTTTACGGACTGAAAACTAAATGAGTGCTGACGTGACTCCTCCATTCCTGCCCATGCAGGGCCCTTTGTCTTAGATTTCATTTCACCCTGAGCTACATGGCACAGGTCCTTGCCCGTAATGCATAATGATCTTGAACTCTACAGTGCTCTGCATTCTTGATTCTTAGAGTCAGTCCACATCCCTAGTCTGCCCCTAGTTTTTCAGAGCAGAAAGTGACTATCTTAGAGAAGTGGCAGTAGATGGCAGCAAGGCAGGGACTAACACCCGTGACCTGAGTTCTAGAGCAGCTTCTTACCTGCCCCAGCCTTCTGTCACCTGAGAACAACTTTAGGTCATCAGCTCACTTGCAGGTTTTCCAGGCTTCCGGTTGTACCTGCCATTGATAAACGATCATCTCCTGAGTTCATGTCCCAGAGCACCCTCCTGAATGTTAATCCTATGACCCTTCCTGCCCACCTGCCTTCTCCATGTGGGCAGAGCCAAAGAGGGTCTGTGTTCTCATCATGGGCACTCTGCCAACATCCTTCCTGTTCTCAGTCAAAGCCAATAACCTTTTTTTTCCCCCAGTTGCTCAGGCCTAAAATCTAGTCATCTTTACTGAGTCTCTTCTTCTTGTACCCATGTCCAATTCACCAACAAAGCCTGTTGGCCCCCTTCCAGATAGTTCCAGAATAGATGACCCCACCTCCACTGCTCCCCCCGGCATCTCTCATGGGATTATCACTGCAGCCCCTTCACCACCTCCCTGATTCCACTCTGGCCATGCTACAGTTCATTCTCAAACCAGCAGCCAAAGTGACCCCTCACTAGAGCCCACTGAAGGCCCCTCAAACAAACTGGACCGAGCCTGGCCTAGGAGACCCCGTGTGGTCCAACCCCTATGTCCTCCCTGACCTCAGCTCTGGTCACCCTCTCTTTGCTCAACCAACTGCAGCCACATCAGCTTCCTCACCCCTCAGACACAGGCTGGCCCTTCCTTGGCACTGGCTATGCCCTCTAGCTGGATCGCGGCTCCTTGGGTAAATCCTGAGTTCATATCCCAGAGCCCCCTCCTGATTGTCAATCTCATGCACAAAGAGGGGCCATGTTCTCACCAAGGTTGCTCTGCCTACATCCTCTCCCCTCACCTCCTTCCAGTCTCTGTTCAACTGTTCTTCCTCCACCAAGGTGACCCTGACATTCCTGTTACAATACAGCCCACCCTCCTCACCTTCACCTCCTCCATCCTGTTTCCTGTCCACAGCACCCATCCTGTGTATTGCATGGTACTGACCATGCCTTTCAATTGTTTCTGCATTCTGTCTGTTTGCTTGCCCTCCTCTATTATAAAATATGCTCCAAAGGTCAACATTTGATCTCTTTTGTGTAGTGATGCACCCTGAGTGCTTTGCACATAGCAGGGCCCAGGGAGCATGTATTGAATGAATGAATGTGAGAGTACTTGGCATCCCCAAATGAATGCCACCCTGTGGACTGATGGACGTGGGGATTCCTAGATGTGAAGCTAGTTTGTACACCCATCTGGAGCAGTGCCCTCCAACCTCTGTGCTCTTCTCTGCCCCATGAATTTCTCTGGGCGCTGGCTGACCCTGAAGTTCAGCTAACTGAACAGCTGTCCTGCTCCTTGCCCCATGGCAGCAACCAGCATGCTCCTGCTCCTTCCTCTTGCCTATCTGCAGGCTTCTCAGAGACTTCCCTGCTGCCTGAAGGCATGCCCACAGGGAGGGGAAAGGAAAAGCAGAAACCCAGCAAGGACTTTGCTGTAGTCAGTTTGGGCAGCTTTAAAAAAGTATCCTGGACTCAGTGGCTTACAGATAATGGAGCTTTCTCTCTCACAGTTCTGGAGGCTGGAAGTTCTGGCTCAGGGTGCCAGCATGCTGGGGCTCAGGCGAGGGCCCTCTTTTGGGTGACACACTGCAGCCTTCTCACAGCAGCAGGAGGGCAAGAGAGCTCTCTGGGGTCTCTTTTATAGGGCTCTAATCTCACTCACATTGGGGGTTAGGGTCTAGTCCGCAACAAACCAGTATGGAGGAAAAAACGTTTGTTGTGTTTTAACATGAAAAGTAATGATCAATTTGCGGTGAACACAGTTAGGCCAGTTTTACACTGGTTTTCCTCCTAGTGATTTGTTTGGCTTAACCTTTGGGAAAGTCCTCTTGTGACCATGCTTGAAGATCAAGAACTCTGGGGCTATTTTCAGCTGTCAGTCTACTATGGACCTGGGTTTGAACTGCATAAGCTATAAAGCAATGATATAACTATAAATTGTCACCATTCCTGGAAGAGATTGTTTATAGGTTAGCATGAACAACTTTTTTCTACCACTAGTCAAATCAGAGCCTGAAAAGTCATGAGCTTACACAGTAGAAAGAAAGGATTTAGGCTAGACAGGATGCAAGGCTTCCAGATGATGAAGGCTTGGGAATGTAGCATTTCAGTGGTGCAGAAGCCTTTGGAATTGACTTCTCCAAAGATCTATAAGTATAATGGACAACAGTAATTCTGTAATGGCGGTAACAGCAATAGTAATTACGATGATGATGATGATGATCACCGTCACTGAAATAATAATGATGATGGTGACATGATAACTGCAGCTACCACAGATTGAGCCCCTCCAATATTCAGGCACTGTGGAATTTGCTTTACATATGTTATTTCTACTCCTCACAGGAAGCCTGTAGGTATAGATTATACACATTTCACAAACAAGGAGACCAAAGCTTAGCACCTATGGTACTGGCTCCGTGTCGTTCTGCTGTTAAGCTGTTCAAGAACTTGGGTTTGAATTCATGTCTGTCTGTATCAGACTCAGCCCCATGCTGGGTGTAATGTGGGCCCAGCAGGTGTGAGATAGGCTTGCTGGATGTGAACAGGCTTGCAGGGTGTACTGCAGGCTTGCTGCGTGAAGTCGAGGCTTACTGGGTATAATTCTGGCATAATTCTGGCTTGCTGAGTAGACTGTGGGTTTGCTGAGTAATTGATGGCCGTGTGTTTCAAGGTAGTACCTGGCCTCAGAGTTTAGTGAGAAGGACATTCATTTTAATAACAATGCTTTTTCATTCTTCCTGTCCTTTTGGTCTTGGGTATAGTGTTCCTGCCCTTCTCTTCCCCCAGATCTTGTGTGTAACACCAGTTAGTATGGCGAGATGGTTGCGAAGGTTTGTCCCTGGGGAGGTGGGAGGGAAGATCGATGTCACATACTTCAGTGTGCCTGCCTGAGCGTGCATGCTGTAGGCTGCACTTAGATGTTGGCTGGTAACCTCAAACTATAAGTTAGAAGTGCTAATTATTTATTTCCACTAGCCATCTCCTTCACTATGCCATGGCAGAAGGTGGCTGCCTACCCCGGATCAATGAGGGAGAATGGCAGAAATAGTCTCCAGGTGGCTAGGGCCCTTTGGGTCCTCAGATCTCTGCTCTGTTGCTGCTGAGATCACTGTCATAGGTCCTCACCACCATGGCCAGAAAGATTTTGTCTACTCTCTAAATTATTATTATTATTATTTTGATATGAAGTCTCACTCTGTTGCCCAGGCTGGAGTGAGGCA